GCCCCACACTGCGTGCGTCCCGCCGGCCCCTCAGCCCGCGGGCGCGCGCCGGGCTCCTCCATCCCGTGACGGAAGCGAGGGCGGCGAGCGGCCCCTCCGCGTCTGGTGCAGCTTTTGCCGTCGCGGTCCCTCCCGGGCCGTGACCGGCCTAAGCGCGGGCCACGTAGTGGTCCCGGCGCGCGGGGGTACTGCCGGTTTCGCAGCCTGTGCGCTGCTGTGTGAGAAGAGCGTGTAGCTGTAATTGAAGCATTCAAAAAAGAGAACGGAGGCAAATGACAGTGCCAGTGAAAGCTAAACCATCACAGTGGTATGACTTGGCAACAGCTATTTTCCTCTGCTTCCCCCTCTGCCATCTTATTCATTGGCGATGTTTTAATTTAAGACATTAAGGCATTTCGTGGTGAGAAATAATTGCTCAGATACACAGTTTTAGTGCATGATGGAGTCAGTAATTACAGTTCTGTTCTTAGCTTTGTAATTATTCAGTCACTTGCTAAATGCTTAAATTTTCCCAAGGTTCTTCCCACCTGGTACGAAATGTTACGTTGATACTGGTTTTCTTAGGTTAAAAAATACAGGTTATACAGAGAAAATGGAGCACTTCGTTATGCACAGATGCTTTGTTTTAACGTCTTGTGTTTTATTTTAGAGTGAATGACAGCCCAGTGTGTGACATGACTGGTGTCCCTAGCGCAATGCAATAAATCTTTTTAAACACATTAGTATTTTTCAAGTCCTATTGGTTATTCGTACATTTTTATGTTCCTTCAGGCAAAACTGTGACCCAAGGGTTGGCAGTGACTCTCACAATTATTTGTTGCTGTAACAATACTTTATGAGATGTCAGAGATTATAGGGGAGTCAGGAGGAGTAGGTTCCCAAGCTAATCTAGTGATTAGTGTGCATACACACAAAATCGCATTATTTGATGAGATTAATAAAGACTTTGAAGTATACTCCTGGGCCAGTGATATTTCTCAGGTATTGAAGATACAGGAGAACCACAGTAAAAAAATTGTCTAGCTTGTTCAGCCACTGAGCTTCTATGATAAGGCTGGAAGCTGAGGGAGTCCTTCTTCTTTAGGGACTGAAAAAGGAAGAACTGAAAAAACAATTAAAAAAAAAAATCCCAGGAACTTACTTTCTGGAAAAGGAACTCAGACCAGTTCAGACAGTATAGTATAAGTCATTTTAAGGGAAATTTCGTTACAAATGGAGTTATGTCTATACATGAAGAAAGTGAAAAGCTTAGCAAATGTCTTTTTGTGAATGAGCAAAGGAGGCTAGATTAGAAAAGTTTCCTGCCATTCCATTATTCCAACTGATTTTCAGAGATAGAGAAAATGTGTGGCTGGTTCTTAATAACCTTTTGGTAAGGGTTTCAGACTCCTAGGCCCGAGGCATTTGTTTGTCTTGCCTTTGGAAAGTAATTAAAATAATTTGGGTAGGGTAATTAATAATGACTTACATAAACTGACTTTTTTTCTTTTTGTCATATGGCCTGCATTTAGTAATAAAATTAACCTGTAGAAAATGAGGGGTGAGAGAGGATAGGAAAAGATCTAAGTTTCGCTTAAGTTTTAAGTTGGTATTTGAACTGGTCATATGAGGAAGGAAAGGAAGATGCTTTATCAGTTTAAAAACAGTTCAGATCCAGATGTCTTCATTTTTATATTCATTCTTTTATGTAAATGTTTATTGAAAATATTTCCTGAATTAAAGGCATTTGAAATGTGTAGAGACCGGACATGATAAAAGAAAAAAATTAACGTTGGTTAGTCTGGAAATATTTCATGAGGGAAAAAAATGGTGTAGTGGCCTGGAACAAAGCGTATTACTTGAGTGAAAGTGAGGCATAGAGTTTGGCTTTGGAGTTAGACTTGTCAAATATCCCTGGATCTTGTTTTCTTTATTCTTGAAATGAGAGTTGAAATACCTGCCTTAAAAAATTAATCTGAAGCATCTAGTAGCTGCTAACTCATAGAGTTTTTTCTTTGACCTTCCTTAATGGCTTGAGAATTATTTGGGTGCCAGAAACAAAAACCATTTGAATTAGCTTATTTTAAAAAGGCGTTTGTCATGTCGGGTGTGGTGGTGCACGCCTGTAATCACAGCACTGGGGAGGCTGAGGCAGGAGGATTGTTGTGAGTTCGAGTCCAGCCTAGGCTACAAAGTGAGCTCAACGCTAGCTTGAACTGCATAGGAAGACCCTGTCTCAAAAAGCAAAAAAAAAAAAAAAGGCATTTGTGGTAAGGTTGGAGTACTGCCTCTGAAGTCCATTGTGTGATTCCTGTTCAGTGCCCTGGAAGCCAGAAACTCTTTAGCCAGTTACTCTTCTGATTTTTCTGTGTAATATGTGGTCTTAGTTCTCTGCTAACTGGGGGCCTATTTTAGTTCTTTCTTACTGTCTTTCTTGTAGAAGGTTTTGGTTTCTGCCTCACTTCCATTTGCCTGAGCACCAGTACCTGCCTCGCTTTGACTTTGCAGCATGGTTCCTAACAAGTATTTCCAAATCTCAATTCTAAATGTATATAGTGAAAACCTGATTGGTCAGCTTTTTACTTGTAGTGGAGCTTGTTGGAGGTGAGGCAAGATAGGATGTGGCTGGGGAGAACACTGAATGTGTGTTTCACTGTTCACTGGGCTGCACTTTCAGACTACATGAGAAGTTCTTTAAGAAGAGGAATGTGAGAAGGGAGGCAGTGATGGGTACCTTGGTTGTACTTTTAACATTTCGTAGTCCGAGTTCTTCCTAATTAGTACTACATTGAATTTGCTGTCTGCTTGGTAGTGATCTAAGTGGATCTGTTGGTCTCTTTCAGGACAGGCTCTCCTAGATGTGTGAGTTAGGGCAAACTACTTGAATGCTTCATGCCTTAGCTTCCCTGTCTATAAAATGATTATAATAATAATAATAATAACATTGCTGTTGTGAGAATTATGAATTCACATTTGTAAAGCAGTTAACAGTGTCTACCTGGCATGTGGCAGGCACAGTGCAAGGATTATGGCGTTGGTATTTATTGAGTATGACCTGAGTGTCAGGTCCTGTGAGCTGGACTCCTGGAGTGGAGTTGATTCTTCCTTTACCATTTCCATTTCCACCCCGAGGAAGTTTAGTGCTGACCACTCATTTGAGACTATTTCTTGACTTCAGTAACACTAAAGTCCTCTAAATTCTGGCATCTACTTTTCAGACTGCATTTATTTGTGGTTCCTTTTTTTCTTGTCTTGAAATCCTTGATCATAGTTGTCTTCTTAGATTTTGTTAATTTTTCATTTGTTCCTTGTCCCCAGGATCAGCTTTCGGGCTGTGTATATGTAGATGATTCTTAAGAGTAGTAATTCAAGTTCTGACCCAACAAAAGCTGTTAATTTTAGATATTACCTTCTAATTATTCTGTAATTCATTGGCAAAGCCTGTCTACCTTTCTTACAATTTCCTGGGTGTAAAATCTTTTGTACTTTTTATTTTTTTTAATTAAAAAATTTTTTTTTGGTACTGGGAATTGAATTCAGGACCTCAAACTTGCCAGGCAGGCACCGTGCCACTGAGCTATACCCCTGGCCCTCACAGTTTTTTTAATGCCTTGTCTATACCATTAGTTAAGAGTTTCTGCCTGAGCATATAGGGTTGGACTATCTGAAAGCGCATCCATTCACACATTCCTGCCACTGGCTGCTTAGGATAGAAACTTAAATTTGCAAGAGCATCTTAAATGGCTTTTTAGTAATGGAGTCACAGGATCACTGAAATATATGAGAAATATGAGAGAAATGTGTTCTTGAGTTAAAATTCTGAACATTTTTTGGTCAGAAATAGTCATATGTATGGATTATGTATTAAGATTAATAATTCAACTTCTGGACAGCATATTCACCTTGAAAGCACAATCTCACAGCTTTAGTTTTGTGTGTGTATGTATATGTTTGAATTGTGTTTATTGTTGTACAGTGTGTTGTGGATTTAATAAACCATTTACACGTAGTATTTATCAACTAGGTCCATGCTTATACTTTAAGTACCAATGGCTGATTGGGCTCTAACGTGGTTTAAGAATGAGTTTCACTCTGGAATGCAATTGAAAAAATAACCTTTTGATGGATGTTTGAGAAAACAAATTGGCAAAATAAATATCCTTGTATTAATTTTTCAAAAGTCGTTAAGTAGGTGGCCCTGTTTTCTGTTT